TAAATTTCTTATTCGCAATCATTCAATTATTTTCTCAAATAGTAAAATTCTTACGGGGATTCAATTATTTTCGTAAATAATAAAATTCTTTTTAAGACTTCAATTATTATTTTCATAAAGAGCAAAACTAATCGCAGAATTTCATTTTAATCCAATTCCTGGAAAAAATTCTTAAAAATTTTATTAAAATTCGTCAAAAGAATTCAATTATTTGAAAAATTTGTTGATAACGATTCTTTATGAGAATTGAATTTTAAGAAACATGCAATTATTCAATCAATTGTTATTTTTGTATTTAAATAATTAAATTCTAGTAGAATTCTCTCATAAACATTTATTTAAAAATGGATTTCATTTCAAATTTTAGATTATAAATGAATTTTGAAAAAGTTTCAAATTAAAATATGAAAATATGAATTTTTCCTATTTTTAACTAACAATTCTGCGGAATTAATTTTTTTTAAGAAACTTTAATTGAAGATTTTTTAATATTATTTTAAATTTTTATTTTCTAATATGTATTTAATTGAAGAATTTACGATTAATTGAAATTTTGTAAAATTGAATTGTAAACAAATGAATTTGAGTTAAAAACAGGGAAAAAATTTATTTTGGCAAAAATTACAATTTATTGCAATAATTATTATTATTCAAAAGTAATAAAATTCTTTATGAGAATTCAATATTAAGAAACATTCAATTATTCAATATAAATTATTTATTTTTGTATTTAAATAATTTAATTCTAGTAGAATTTTTTAATAAAAATTGATTTAAAAATTAATTTCAGTTAAAATTTTAGATAATAATTCAATATTAAAAGCAATGTAGCGTGAATTTTTAGAAATAATTGAATTTTGAAATTAATATCTTTGAAAAAGTTTCATTGAATTTTTTGTTGAAATTATTTGAAGTTTTTATTTTCTAATATATATTTAATTGAAGAATTTACGAATAATTGAAATTTCGTAAAATTGAATATTGTAAACAAATAGATTTGAAAATTGTCAAAGAATTTTTTCGAAAATTATTAAAAATAATCGATTTGAAGAAGAATTTTAGTTAAAAATTTTTGTAAATAATAATTGAATGGTAAATTATGTTATCACTCGGTCATCTTTAATTATTATAAAACATGAAGAAATCGGTAACTCCGAGTCAAAGACTCGGAGTTATCGATTTTTTTATGTTTTATAGTTATGAAAAATTTAATTTATAGTTTTTATAGTAAAACATTTTTATAGTAAAATAAAATTGTTGTTTTTCCAATTAAAATATTTTTTGCGTGTTTATTATTCTAAAAGAAAAAATCTCGTGGCAGCTTTTAGTTGAATTTTTCAGTAGGCTTTTAATAATTTTGAGATTTCTCTTGAATTGTGCTGGACCGCACCGCACGTTGAATAGATGCTGAGAAGAGAAGAAAAAAAATGAAAATTTGAATTTAGAGTAACGTGGCTTTCAGTGGAAATATAGTAAACGTACGTGCTTGTAATGACGTATTTGCGCTTTAAAGGAAGCAGGATGCTGTCGAATTATATTCATGTTATATATTACATCCCGCCCTCTTTTGATAAGACATAGATTACTCGTTCAGGCATCGTATGCACGTGACTTGAATAGTTTCTTTGATCTTTATTTTTAAAAGTCAAGGTGTTTTTTTATTTTCTTGCCCTCAGTGTACGGTAATTCGTTTTCAACACAAAGTAATAATAACCCTTTTCAATTTTTATCATATTTTAACGGTACACTATTTTTTATTCTAATTTTCCTTTTTTGGCTGAAAAGAAATAACGCACTTTCTTTGGTGCATCGATTTTATGGATTTTCAACAGTTAAAGTCATTTTAAAAATATTTTTTTTTCTGTTCCAGTAGTTTAAAAAATTACTATCACAGACTTAGGCGACTATTGATAATTTTTGACAATTTTTTCACTTGACATGACAATTTAGCTACTATTTTTTATAAATATGTTGTTTATTTTGTTTAAAAAGCCGCACTAATTAGTTTCTTAAGACGGAATTTTAAATATCAATTTATTTAGTGAAGAAATTCATTCTAAGGCTCTAAAAAAATTCAAGGAGGTAAAAATATCTAAAAGAGAAGTAAATTAATTGAAATTTGTTTATATATTAATTGTCAAGGTCTTTAAATTTGATTATAAAATATTATAAAATTACAAAGAATTTGAGATTCAATATGGAGATGTTATTCTCCACCTGAGAACGTCAAGGCCGTCGCTAGATGGCACTTCAATTCTTTCTTGGAATTTCTCCTGCCACCTGGTGGTGACCTTGGCGTTCTCAAGTGGAGAAATCAAACCACCATTTTATCTCTCAATTTAAAAAAAAATTTTTTTTTTGTTAATTTTATATTAAATATTGAAATTATTATTTAAAATAAAAAAAAAATTACTGTAAAAAATAAAAAAATTAAATTAAAAAATAAGTAAATTTAATTTATGTTATTTTTATAAAAAAAAATTATTATGAGAATAATTTGAATTAGTAAAAATGTTTATTAATTTGAATTGGTGATTGACTTTTTGCTTTTGAATTAGTATTTACTTTTTAATTAATTACTATAATAAATTAGTAGAAATTACTATTTATTAGTAAAATTGGGTTATCCGTAAAATTTACTAATTCAAAAGCAAAAAGTCAGTCACTAATTTAAATTACAGTAGAGACTCCATTATCCGGACCCCTATTATCCGGATATTCGATTATCCGGACAAATTTAAAATTAAAATTTTTTTTTTTTTTTAATATAAAGTTTATAAGGTCTCAAGCCGTTAACTTCTATTTTAAATTTCTTTACACGAAATGTTGCGTTTTAAAGTGTTTTAATTATTTTAAGAAAATGTTTATGTAAATATTTTGAAATATTTCTAACTAAATATTTATTAATGTTGACTTTAAAAGTTTTAGTTTGTTTCAGTCTTATTTTAATACATATGCAAATAAATACATAAAATTATTAATCCAAAATTTGTTTAATTCGTACTTTACTCGATTATCCGGATTTTCGATTATCCGGACAAGTGCCTGCATCCATTAGTCCGGATAATGGAGTCTCTACTGTAATTAACATCTTTACTAATTTAAATTAATTAACATCGTTACTAATTTAAATTTAGAGAGTAGTAGGGGTAATAATAATAATAATAATAATAATAATAGTAAAATTAATAATAAAAACTTATAAAAAATGAAATAATTTGATTGTTAGGAGTGTTTACTTTCTACTCCCCAAATTTGATAAAATTAGATCAGAGGAAAGAAGGAAGTTGTATATTTTTATACCCAAGTGGGTATTTATATATATTGTGAGCCAAAGGCAAATCGAGAGTTATTTTCGTTACGACCCATAATTCATTGAATTGACTTGAACCACGTAAGTCGTCGAGTCTAGTGAGTCACCGAGTCAATCTTCTCTCCATGTCATTCATTAGCAATTCTGAAAAGGTTGTCTGACCTTCGCCAACTTCTTTGCACGATGGGCCAGGAAGGGCGATGACGTGTATATAGTTTTCGCTTTGAGAGAAAGGATTTTGTGAATTTCTTCCTATTTTCTTTTTTCCCCCTTTATTATTGCAAATTCGCTTGCAAATTTGTAATAATAATTGGCTTTTGAATTTTTTTTGTTTTGAAATTGCTTTTGAACTTTCTTAAGAAAATTCAAAAGCAATTTTCCTATTTTCCTTTATTATTACAAATTCGCTTGCAAATTTGTAATAATAATTGGCTTTTGAATTTTTTTTTTTTTTTTTTTGAAATTGCTTTTGAACTTTCTTAAGAAAATTCAAAAGCAATTTTCCTATTTTCCTTTATTATTACAAATTCGATTGCAAATTTCTAATAATAAATTGCTTTTGAACTTTCTTAAGAAAATTCAAAAGAAATTTTTCTATTTTCCTTTACTATTACAAATTCGCTTGCAAATTTGTAATAATAAATTGCTATTGAATTTTTTTTTTTTTGAAAATTCATTTTCAAGTTTCTTAAGAGAGTTCAAAAGTAATTTTATGGAAATTAGCGAGTTTGCTAATTTTATATTAAATATTAAAGTTATTTGAAATAAGAAAAATTACTGTAAAAAATTACTGGAGTATTTAAAAAAAAATTTTAGAGGCAAATGGAATTTGAATAATTAATTATTGTAAACTTAAAATCAAATAATTTGATTTATTTCAATTATGCGAATTTTTTTTATGTCAAATCAGCTAAATAACTGTTCTGAATTCTGCAGAGGTCGTTCACTTTTTAGACAAATCTTTTTATATAATGCGTCAGAGAAGTCAAAATCAAATCTTTACGGAAAATTTACAATTTTTTTTTTGAAAATTAAAGTAAAGATTTTTAAATATCTTTTTTTTTGAAAATTAAAGTAAAGATTTTTAAATATTTTTTTTCGAAATATTAAAGAGTAGATATTTTTAAATAATAAAATGTTTTGATTAAATTTTCGAGTTTTCCATTCAATTTAGTTTTTATTTAATTTGCAATAAGCAACAGTTGAGAATTTCCATTGATTATAAATAATTTTAGTTGCAATTATTAACTGAGATTAATTACTTGTAATTATTAAATTAATTTAAATATTTAATAAACAATGAAATTTAGTACATTTAATAAATTAATAAATTAATAAATTAATAAAATAATAAAATTAACAGTAATTAATAATTAAAAATTAATGAGGAACAGAAGTATATTGATAAATAAATATATTATCCCCCTATATAAATAAAATTAAGTGAAAGGAATAAAAATGACAATGGAAAATAAAATAGAATAGAAACAGTAATTCTTAAATATTAGGCCCTATAAATTAGACGATAATATATTTTATAATAAAATATAATGATAATATAATTTATAATAATGATAATAATAATAATAAAAATACAAACGTATATGAGCTTAGAAATGAAATGCAATTGTAAAACTAATTTAAATACGCCGATAATATTAATTATGGTGATTGTTTTTAATTACAGGTGCAACCAGTCGCTGAATTATCGGAATTATCGAGACGCGGTGGAAGTGATGGACGACAAGTGAAACTTGCACCTGCAAATATCCGCAGCGGTACTCTTCGACGATCGGGAAGTTTGCGCTTTCATCAAAATACGGTGAGTCATTTTTTTCTTGTCTTATTATTATTATTACTAAGTTCACTGATTTTTTATACAAAAGTATATACACCTAATTTATAATCCACGTGGTCACGAATTGTGAGACCGGATGTGCATGCGTTTCGTTTAACACGCGAGTCAACGTGTGCACGTGCTCACTTTACTAGTTTCGAATTCATTCATTAATTAAAATTTTCGAAGATATTCGACCAAAAAATAAAAAAGAATGTAATTAAGAAATTTTATACCTATGAATTTTTATTTTTGGTCTCAAGGGTAGTTTTTTTTTAATACTTAATTAAAATTTAGAAGATATGACGAAAAAGGTAATTAAATTTTTATGAATTTTTTTTTGTTCTCCTTTTTTTCTATAGAGAAGCTTTTATTTTTTAATGGCTTGTTAGTCATTTAGGTGCGAGAAAGGAAACGATATTACGTTATCGTGATAGAGTTAATTAGCCTAAACGATTTTGAAGCGAGTTTTTTTTTTATTTTTAGAAGAAAATAGAGGGGAAAAAATCGATTTCTTTGAAATTGGCCTTGTTAACATGGGCATAAATAATTAATTACCCATTGATAATGGTCAAATCGCTTAACAGTGCAGATCAATTAGTTTTTCTTTTGGTTTAACGCATTACTTTTTTTTTTTGCTTGTAATGAATGGTTTACGGTTCTGAAATTTCTCGTATTTTTTTTTTTTTGTAGGTTTCTTTTAATTAAGGAAATATTGAGTAATGTTGATTTTTAAGGGCGTTTACAGTCATTTTTTCTTCAAAGTTTTCTCCTGTATTTGGGAATTAGAAAAACAAAAATTTGCAATTAAAAATAATTTTCGATTAAAAATTAAGTCTCTGTTAAAAATTAATTTTTTATAAGAAATTGTATTCTGTATTGAAAATTAATTTTCTTAAAAAACTTTATTCTTTATTAAAAATTAATTTAGTCTATAAAAAAACTTATTTTTCTATTAAATATTAATTTACTATTAGAAAATTTAATTCTTTATTGGAAATTAATTTATTATTAAAGAATAATTTTTTTTTTAATTGAACTTTTAGTAGAAAACGATTTTTCAATCAAATTATTTTTTAGTAGAAAATAAATTTTCAATCAAAATTTTTTTTTTAGTTGAAAATTAATTTACAGCAGAAAATTATTTTTAGTAGTAAATTAATTTTCAATAGAAAATTACATTTTTTTATATAATATTAATTAATTTTTAATAGAAACTTCAGAGTTGCCGCAGGTCAGAGAATTCTGGGAAAAAGACTAAAAAAATTGAATTTTGAAGAAGTTGCAAATGATTGCAGAGATTCAATTATTTTCAAAAAATTTTTTAAAAATTATTCTCAAGATTTCAATTCTTTTTATAAATACATAATCAAATTCTCGTAAAAAAAATTAATTTTGTCATTATAATTAATAAAATTCTCGTCAAAATTTCAATTATTTTTAAAAATTTTAATAAAATTCTGCCGAAACATTTAATTTTTTTAATAAATAATAAAAATTTCACAGATATTCAATTATTTATAAATTTTTTATAAATTTCTTCGCAATAATTCAATTATTTTCATAAATAAAAAATTTTTTTACAGTACGCAATTTTAATTGATTTCCTCGAAGAATGTAATTATTATTAAAAAATTTATTAACATTCGTCAATAGAATTCAATTATTTAAAAATTAGTGTATAAAATTTTTTGAAAGATTTTAATTTTAAGAAACATTCAATTATTCAATAAATTATTTATTTTTGTATTTTAATAATTGAATTCTCTCGTAGAATTTTTTTAATCAAAATTTATTTAATAATGAATTTCAGTTAAAGTTTCAGATAATAATTAATATTTAATGAAAAATTACATTTTTTTCTAGTAAATTTATTTTTTATAAAGAATAAAGTTTCTTATAGAAAATTAAGTTTCTATCAAATTATTTCAATTAAATTTTATCAAACAAACTAAATTTAATTTTCAGTTAAAAATTAATTCTCTTTTGGAAATTAATTTACATACTATTAAAAAATAGTTTTCGATTAAAATTGTTAGATTTTACTAAAAATTGTACTTCTACAAAAAATTTATGTGGTAAAAAAGACACTAAATTTTCTATTAAAAATTCACTTTCAATTAAGAATTAATTTGCCATTAAAAATAAAAATTCTGTTTTCCAATTGCCCAATGCAACAACCTTGATTAGTTTCACAAGAAAAAGTTATGTTATTCAATTAGTATTTTATATATATACAGAGAGAAATATATTATATCTATTTCGATAAATGATATTTCAAAAGCATTTGCTACTTTTACACGATTAACGAAAAGCGAGAGAGCGATATTGCATAATCGGTCGTCGTCTCTCGCACGTTGTACTTTTTTTTTTCTTCTTTTACTTATATTGTATACCTTCTATACTCGTTTTGCTAACACGCCGCGGTGTCTGTTTCGCTCGTGAGATCGCCTTTGGTGGCAAAAGTAAATCAGCTGTAGCGTGAGAGAGCAAGGAACTCAAGTCGAATGAGAAAAAGTAAAGAAAAAAAAAAAAAAGAAACGAAAAGAAAAGAAAAGAAAAAAGAGAGAAAGAAAACAAGGCGAGCTTAGAAGAAAAGAAATAGACCATGGTCCCACTTTACATTTTAAATGTCCTTGTATCGTTTCATTCATAGCTTCTCTTTTCATCTGTCTTTCCATACACTAGTTTGGAATTTAAATCACGTTTAAAATGCTCGTCATTTTTTTGTATTTGTGATCTTTTGATGGCATTGTTGAAACTCGTCTGTAGCCCTTACTTATTATTATTACGATTACTGTTGTTATTTTTATTATTATTATTATAATTATTGTTACAATTGTTGTTACAATTGTTGTTACAATTATTATTTTTATTATTATAATTATTGTTACAATTGTTGTTACAATTATTATTTTTATTATTATAATTATTGTTAAAATTGTTGTTACAATTATTATTTTTATTATTATAATTATTGTTACAATTTTTGTTACAACTATTATTTTTATTATTATAATTATTGTTACAATTGTTGTTACAACTATTATTTTTATTATTATAATTATTGTTACAATTGTTGTTACAACTATTATTTTTATTATGTAGAAAGAAAGGTCATTATTTTCGAGTCAAATAATTTTTATTGTTACAACTATTATTATTATTACTTATTATTATTATTTTTATTATTATTATAATTATTATCACTATCATTATTATTGTTATTATCGATATTAATATCTTCGCTTCCTGAGTTATTATTATTATTATTATTGCCGTTAATATTTGCGCTATCTAAATTATTGTAATAAATATTAGAACTAGCGTTAATATTTTTGCTAATTAAATTATTTCTATAATTAGTAAAGAAAAAAAAAGTTTACGTGATTCTAATAGTCTACTAACCGCTTACTTAACTATTATCCAATTAATTATATCCTGGAATAAAATAATTTTTATTTAAATCAATTAAATTGTATTTATTTCAATTACCTGAAATTATTGATTCGAATACAATTTGAGATTGACTCCAAAAGAAAAATTATTTGATTCAAGTAAATATTTTTTTGATAATAAATAAGTAATCGGTTATTTGAATCAAATTTTTTTCAATATAGCGAAATTATATTCACGTTGGTAGTAATAATATTCATTATTTTAGGCAATATCCGGAAAAAATATTTATTAAAATAAAAAGCAAAAGAGAAGGAAAAATGAAAACTAAACATCAAAATAGGAGAAGAAATGAATGAAATGAATAATAATAATATAAATAAATGAAAGAAACTTTCAGACTTCGCACTAGATAATTTATTTTTAAAAAGTATCAAAAAGTAGATTTCAAACTAAAAAAAGTAGTAAAAAAAGTAGCTATAGAAAAATTAAACAAGACGAACAAAAAAAAACTCGTTTTAGATACTTCACAAAACTGACAAAAATTTCATTCTATATTTTATTTTCCTGACCTTTTCCTAATTTTTATCAAAAATATTTACTTCTTTCGAATCTTGCTAATAAATTGAATTCCTGCAACGAATTTTATTATTCATGAAAGAATTTGAATATTTGTAATAATAATTTAATTCTTGCGAAGAATTTTATAAAATTTTTTAAATAATTTATTTCTTTCGACTAATTTTATGCAAATTTTAATTTAAAAATTTGAATTCCTGAGAAATCTTTATTTTTCATGAAAAGAATTGAATATTCTTACGAAGATTTTTACAAAAAAAAATTTTAAATAATTGAATTTTGTTTGGAAATTTTTTGAAAATTGTAGATATAGAAAATCATGGAATTGTGAAAAATTTTTAAAAATAATTAAATTTTACAAAGAATTTTATTAAAATTTTTGAGAATAATTGAATGTCTGTGATGCATTTTATTAAATTTTTTTGAAAATAATTGAATTCCTAAAAATCATTTTATTATTTATGAATTTTTTAAAATAATTGAATTTACAAGAAAAAATTTATTACTTTTAAAAATAATTGAATTCTTGTGATGAATATTGTTATTTATAAAAAGAATCAAATTTTGCAAAGAATTTTTTTAACATGCCTCAAAATAATTGAATTTTCGGAAATAATTTTGTTATTTATCTTTAATAATTGAATTCTTTCGGAGAATTTTTTTTTGCAAATAATTGAATTCTTGCGAAGAATCTTATTAAAATTTAAAAGAATAATTAAATTATTTCAAAAAAAAATTAATTAAAATTGTATTTAAAATAATTGATTTCTTTCGAACAATTTTATTAAAATATTTAAAAATAATTGTATTTCTGAGGGAAATTTTGTTATTTTTGAAAATAATTGAATTCTTCATAAGAATTTCATAAAAATTATTTTAAATAGTTAATTTTTTTCGAATTATATAATAAATATTATGAAAATTTTATTTTAAATAATTGAATTCTTGTGGAAAATTTTATTTGTGAAAATAATTGGATTTTTCGCTTAATTAATTTAAAATAGTATTAA